ATTCGTAACTACATTCTCTCTCCTGTCTTTTCTTCCTTATAACAAGCTACTAAAGCATAATGTTCAATTAGATTATATCCATCGTTTAGAGGACGTAGATAAAGTTTCTTTTGTGCCGAATGCCTTCCCAATATGTCGCCAGATTGCAAAGGTTGGGAACCCACTGACTTTCAATTTGTATTCTTGGAAATGCATTCGGTAAAGATACAAATACTCTCTACGGTATGTTGAGCAATTGGTCAACAACAAAAAATTACATAATACATCCAATATTTCACTTGCAAGGAAAAACCTTTTTTCATTCCATTGCAAGATGCGGTCATGAAATATCTGCATTTGTTCATAACATAAAACTACTGATACTGTAGGGAAGTTATTACGTGTGATTCTGAAGGGCGCAACAGCCGTGCGTCACATTTGCGTGTGCGCGCGCATACGTACATCAAAACGCACACGCGCACGTACACATTCACACACTCTTTCAGCATGGCAACTGAGTTTATCTTTGTGTTTGTCTGTCTGCCAGCTGCGCGGAAAACCAGACTTAAGAAAGGTATGAACAAAGAGCAATCTACCACAACGTTACGTCAGTGGGCTCAAGGTCATTACTGAGGAAAATAAGCACATATCACGATTATCTACAGTGTCACCATGTGTTTTTGGCGATACAGGTGTACAGTGGAACAAAACACAAATGTACATGGCGCTATATAAGGGATGACCCATAAAGTTAAGGCCACAGATATATCGAGCATATGTGAATATATTACATTTACTTCCTAATACTCATCAAGTTACAGCATATCAAGTAATGGTTTCAATAAGAATGTTAAACATATTTATCAAGTCTTCTCTTGTCTTTTCTAGTCCTGTAATACTAAGCAAAAGGTGCTTTCCACTAAGTAACTGGTGCTTCTCTCTTACTACAGTGTAAGCAAAGCACTGAAATATAATGTTTTAATCTAAAATCTCAATTTACATTTCCTGTAAAATGAACATGTTCTAAGGCTGTTACAATGACCAATAAAAACATTTGGAAATTTCATACAGACACATGTACTTCATACAATTATTGACTGTTAATAGATATTGACCGTGAAAATATATAACCACAATAAAGATGCTAAGTTTTCAGTATAACCTTTCTCGAACTTTCTAAAAACGTAAAAGATATGTTTGTAAAATTATTCAGAAATACTTGAACAAGCCAGAATTACTTAAACAATCAAATAAAATGTTTAAATAATTGATGACGATATAAATATGCTTTTAAATATTCCTGCCACTCCTGAGGGCTTCTGTGTTTTACTACTAAATCTTTCTCATTCTCTTTGATTCCATATCCTTAACCCTACAAACCTAACTTAAATACTATTTCCTGGTGGATCTAAAGCCCCCCATTCACGCTACAGTCTTTAGCAATGGTAGGGTTATGGTATGGTCAACTGCACAAACCTATGCCCGAGTGGGTAGGCCACTCACGTTACATTCTTTTGCCCAGTTTTCACAACGTTTTGAATCGGAAAGATGTCTCTCTCAGATTGTTTTTCATCGGACGATTTAGTACATGTAGCGCTGGCACTTACATTACAAAGAAAAAAGGAAAAAAAGTCAAGATGGTGCAAGCCATGGCTTTTGAAGAGGGATAGCTTATCGCATGAAGGATTGTTAAATGAACTTCGTTTGGAACCTGTTGATTATTTCAATTACTTGAGAATGGATGAGCAAACTTACTCAGAATTGTTATCACTATTGACTCCATTAATTAAAAGAAAATATACCGTCATGCGGAAAGCAATTTCACCCCATGAGAGGCTTATAGCGACCCTTCGTTTTTTAGCAACTGGGAGATCATATGAAGACTTAAAGTTTTCCACTTTGGTCTCTCCCCAAGCTTTAGGAGTCATCATACCTGAGATAGAGATATAATAGTGAAAAAGATAAATGCTATCTGCATTCGGTATTTTCTCGTAAGCCTCATTTTTTAAAATTTCTATTTGAATATTCTTTGCTTTTTATTTTCCACAAACACGGGGAACTTCCATACAGTTCTATTACTTCACTTAAGAATTCTCTGCTAAATTTATTTTCCATGTTGGGGAAAATGCACCTGAAAATAAAAAAAGATAAACGAAATTAGCAAATATATTTTTCCGCTAAACACATGCTCACGATTTCCTTTAGTCAAAACTGAGCAAATTGGGTGAAAACACCCACACACGGTTATGGTCTGCGTTATGGTACAGCCACAAGCCGCGAAAATATCAAACACGTTGGATATTGTTATGTTATGGTTCCGTCCAACTGCGCAAACCAAAAAAAAGCCCCACTCACGCTACATTAACTGCACAGTTTTACTGAACCATACTTGAACCGTAGCTATTTTACGTAGCGTGAATGGGGGGCTTTAGTTGTTCACAGCATTATTTCTGTTTTCACTGCTATCTCCTATCTATAGTACTGGGCTGTTTTGAAGCAGGGTGCGACGATGCCAAGCTAAATAGTAATCAATGTACTGTGAATACCACTCCATGCATTAGTTTTATTTTGACCAACAAAACGAAGTCGGTCTATTTAGTTCCATTGTTTTTTCAACTAAAAGATGATTGGTCGCGCCAGACAATAGACACGCAAACACCTGTCGGTCATAACACGTGTGAAGCTCGAAAAATATTTCCATTTTTTTTATGAATGACACATAACCAACCATGACTGCCTTTAACGTGACAACAGCAAATAATAAAACAAAGATCAAGTCCAGCTGGATAATGCTAATGGTTAATGGTTACAAGGCAAAATAAATATGCTAGACATCAAAGATCACATAGCACAACAGAGAGGTGTAGTAGTGAAAAGGGAAAGGGGGGGGGGAGTGAGTTGAGGACATCAAATGTCGCATGGCAGTTCAGAATAGTAGGGCACTGAAAGGAACAAAAAAAAAAAAAAAAAGGGGGGGGGGTAGAATAGGGTGAGTAAATTATCCAGGGTAGGGATTAACTAGGGTGACGAGATCAAAGTCGTCAAAGGAAGAAGTGTGAGCTTCTGCAAGGATGTCAGTAGGCTAAAGTTGGGAAAGGAAAAAGGGGGGGGGGGGTTAAGAGCGATTAGATAACCGTTTTTGGAGAAATGCCATGAGGGAGAGAATCCAGGGAAGGGGGTTGCTGTGACAAGGATATATATATCCAGGGGGATGTGAACTGGATAATGGGGAAGGAAGGGGGAATGATGCAAATGAAGCAGGGGGGGGGGGGGAGGAAGGGGGAATGATGCAAATGAAGCAGGGGGGGGGGAGGAAGGGGGAATGATGCAAATGAAGCAGGGGGGGAAGGAAATGTGTGGGAGTGGGAGTATATGAATAGGAGGATGGATGTCCACAGTTACTTTGAGTGTAGTGGGAATAGGAGCACAGAGAGATTGGAAGATGGATGAGGTGTAAGCATGTTAATGATTAGATCGTACTGAATGTCTTCGAGAGTTCTGAAGTAGATTTGGTTGGAGAGGTCTGAGAAACAAATATTTTCTTCGGATTCGGAAGTCAGTCAGGGTTGATAATGTATTACCTTGTGATTCGGATGTATTTGTAACAAGGCATGAACAGCTACGGAAACTTTGCCTACTGTTTTGGTAGGCATTGTTGGAAGAGGAGAGTGGATTACAAAAAACCGATCCCACTTGGCTGGGCTAAAAGGAGTACTTAAAAGATCTGTATAGGTGGGGGTAGTAGAAGGAAGAGGGAGTGGTGCTGAGTGAAGTGGTACTGTGGAGAGACTGCAGATTTTTAATATGGGAGGAGGGAGGAGTAGCTGAAGTAGTGGAGTAGTGGAGTATGTTGGGGAGAGAAATGGTCCACCCCTCGGGGTCCCCTTGAGATGTAAGGGCCAGACAACTAAACAGGGGAATTCCGTGCCCATGGCTCCCCCAGGCCGTTCATGACTGGCACAAAGTCGGGCTTTCCCGTCTCAACACAACTGTTACACCTTAGAAAGTGGATAGTTGAAATTGGAGTGTGGTTAATGGTTAAAATAAATAAATATGCCAGATATCAAAGGTCATATAATACTATGATAAAGGATTGTGAATTAATAATGGACAGAAGGGGATGAAGAAGAGAAGGAAAAGGAAAGGGGGAGAAGAAAAAAACACGCAAAATTAGTTGAGGAGAGTTCTGAGGACTATGGTAGGGGTGATCCCCTATATTTGGCCCCAGTCTTGGTCTCCTAAGCCCCCCCCCCCCACGACAACAACGGGCAAGGGATAGGGGGGGGGGAGAAGTTGGAGAAGAGAAGGAAAAGTAAAGGGATAGAGAGAAGACTGTACAAAATTGGTTGAGTCGAAGGTTGAGTCGAAGGCTGAGGTCTAGTGCAGGGGCATTGGGCCTCAGTCTCTGTCTCCAAAGCCCCCCTTCCCCCCCATGGCAACAACAAAGAATTGGGGGTGGGGGGGTATGAGCTCTAAAGCAAAGCATGATCTATGAGTAGCCAAGTCAAGTATATATGATCTATAAAGGGTAAGCAATAACCTACAGACTCTTTAGACGTGAAAGAAAAATAATCTTACAAGGATTTTTCTCCTCGTTTCTTCATCATGGCTAATGCGATTACTGAATAATCGGTTAACGTAAGGAGAGTGTCTCAAATTCTTTCCCACTCGAAAGGGCTGTCGAGATATGGAGTGTGATTCTACCCCGAGCTATAGAGTGATTATGTTCTGTTGGGCCTAATTCCCTCCATAACTAGGGGCGGGGGAAAGGACCGCCACGTCGATCTTTGTCCCTCGATATTTGTCGATACCCTGCTAATAATCAAAACAAAAATATGGAATCCCAATTATCAGTTACTTCATTAATTGCTAAAATGACGGTTTAATATACAGTTATACATGCTTTCTGTAATTTGTCTTTCTTAAAAGTATGAATAGTCAGAATGTTTTATCAAACTCCACTGGCAGGTCTCGTTCTTAACGTTTCCAGAAAAAAAAGACAATGAAAGAGTTTCCGCCATTTTAATTTCAAAAACTGGACCTGACACACCCTTGCTATGAAGGACTGTCAACACGATCCAAAAGTCATATTTCTAAGGAGCCAAGTGTTGTAGGAGGAAACGCGGGTGTACACGCCTGGGAATCCTTGCAAGGCACACCCCCTGCCGAAGCTCACAATGCCGATCTGCAAAAGAGTGCTCAATATTACATACATTCATTTCTTTTCATTCTACCACTATCGTCACCTACGCACTGTTATTTCTAAATCTGACTGTAGTTGTTGTCAGAAAAAAAAAATTCTATCATTATTACACCTCGTCTCATTGTTAAGATCATTATAATAGCAGCAGAACGCGTAATAGTATTAGCTGTTCCAATATATCAGTTAAATTATCAAGTCGCGTTGTAAACGTTTATCTAAAATGAAAACAAAAAAATACCAAAACCCATCTCCCGTTTTCTTTGATGACAAGCGGACCCCCTGAGTCACCATGGCATGCGTCTTTCCCAGAATCAGCGGCACAGATCTAGGGAGAAAAAAATGGCAACTTATGAGAAGAAGGATGGCAACTTATGAGAAGAAGGATGGCAACTTATGAGAAGAAGGATGGCAACTTATGAGAAGAAGGATGGCAACTTATGAGAAGAAGGATGGCAACTTATGAGACGAAGGATGGCAACTTATGAGACGAAGGATGGCAACTTATGAGACGAAGGATGGCAACTTATGAGACGAAGGATGGCAACTTATGAGACGAAGGATGGCAACTTATGAGACGAAGGATGGCAACTTATGAGACGAAGGATGGCAACTTATGAGAAGAAGGATGGCAACTTATGAGACGAAGGATGGCAACTTATGAGACGAAGGATGGCAACTTATGAGACGAAGGGATGGCAACTTATGAGACGAAGGGATGGCAACTTATGAGACGAAGGATGGCAACTTATGAGAAGAAGGATGGCAACTTATGAGAAGAAGGGATGGCAACTTATGAGACGAAGGATGGCAACTTATGAGAAGAAGGATGGCAACTTATGAGACGAAGGATGGCAACTTATGAGACGAAGGATGGCAACTTATGAGACGAAGGGATGGCAACTTATGAGACGAAGGGATGGCAACTTATGAGACGAAGGATGGCAACTTATGAGAAGAAGGATGGCAACTTATGAGAAGAAGGATGGCAACTTATGATAATCACACAAGGTGAAGGAAATTAACCCATTGCCGCCGGGGATGGCATGTACGTACATGCCATGCCCTCTGTGAGTCGACTTGTTCGATTGTTTTTACACATAGATGGCTACACTTGTACTAAGTATCCAATGAACCAATTACGAGTACTGCTTGTCTCGCCCGTTCACCTTTTTCATCGATTTACGAAAATATTTAACGTTATCCTAATTTGCTGTTAAAAATAACACCATCTATATTTATAGCACTAGTTAGAATACGTTTTTTTTCCGCCAATTCAAGGGAAGGTGAAATCAGGACTAGCAGAGCCATCTATGGACAGACATATTTCACAAAAATATAAAAAATGAGTCCTGCATTTCCCCCATTTTTTTTTCATTTTCCCCGGCGGCAATGGATTAAAAGGTCCAGTAATTAACGTACCAAATCATATCAACCTATTCCCCAACTTGATAATGGAAGAAAGATGCAGAATCAGAGCATAATGTTGGGCTGGAAATTATTCGTGTAATTGAGATCAATGGATAAGGGATGCGAGGCAGATGTTATCATATGCTGGGCTTAGGACTTTCCTTATGATGACCGAACTCAATTTAAGGGACGAGGAGGATTAACGTGTATTTCCCTCCAGGGTGTGAATTCCAAGATTTACTATTTCATTTTGTTCTCTCTCTCTCTCTCTTTCTCTCTCTTTCTCGCACACACACACACACACATACACATACACAGATAGAGAGAGTCAGATACGGTCCTTCTGTGATGATCGAAGAACACGTAAAGAAGACAAAGACATGAAAGACAATGTGACAATCGGTACTGGAGTCAATGCTGATTCAAGACATGCCATGCATGATACGAACGATATTTATAAGAGACGAAAGAAATGTTCATCATAAGCGGGATACTTTCGCAGTAAAGCTTTCGACGAGCTAAGTAACGCTGTGGATTTTCGTAAACGGCTTTCAAATATCTTAATGTTTAATGGATGACGGTAGGCTGTGCCCGTATATTTAGATTGTGCCATAACCTTTAGGCTAATAACATTTTGGAAATAGTCATCATAATTTTCGAATGATTTGAAGGCATTGGACAACCCCATTTTAGGAAAAATATATGACAAACCAAAGGTTCTTAACCTATTTCGTGGCGCCGAACCGTAACAAAACCCACAAGCTTGCCGCGCCCCTAAATATATCACGTAAAGAAATTAGTTTTAATAAGTAAAAACAAATATCAAATTGCCATCAAAATTTAAGATAGTATTTAACATGGGTTTAAAATAACAGTCAAAAGTTAAAATAGTCGTCCACAATTTTTTCGATCGCAAGTTAAGCCGATCAGTTCCTCAGCTACGAGAGAAAGTGAATAAATAACTCACTGAATACAATATCTGATTACTTTTTGCCTCTCAAGTGCGGAAATTTTGTGGTGTTATTTTATTCTATTTTGTGTTATGTATTATGCCTGATTTTACTTTATTTTATACGGTTAATGCCTAATTTTGCTTACTTATTTCTCAATATCTTGTGCCTTCCTCCACCATGGAACTCTAACAACAAATAAATGACATGCAAAATGCAAGCAACCGAAGGCAGAAAGGTAAAACTTTACACCCTACAGTCATTTTGAAAGTCTTCTAACAAGCATTTTCACGGATGAATACTTTGACAGACAGACAACACAAGGGGTACTGGTGAATGACGTTAAGTGGATGATCATAACATATAATTTCCTGTATACACTTCGGCCTTTCATATTCAAAACTACAAAACCAAAAAAACTATCATTACTTCTAAACTTTTTTAAGCGTAACAGAAATTCACACTTTTTCAACGGAAAGCCAATTTTAATATGAGGAATACAGCAGAAGTACAGCCCAGGAATTGTGAATTTCGTTAGAATTATTGCTATAATAGTCGTAGTAGTAATAGTAATAACCACTATCACATCCTCATCATTGCCACTATTTATTAATACCATTATCATCCATTTTATTACCAACATTACCATTACTGTTACTAGTCACCATCACCATTTCAGAAACTCTGAATATGGTTTCGATAAAAAAAAAGTAAACCAAATATAAAATAGGGACACCTAATGAGCTCCAATATAGCGCGTTTTTTTTTTTCTTTTTTTCTTTTTTTTTACACTCATAATGGCAACTTACGTGTTTATCAGTGACAGAGAAGTCTGAGGAGATATAAGCCTTTTCACACATTTCCTGGTCCGTGATAGTAACAGCTACTTCGTTGAGCTTCGTGGTGTATGGCCCGTCTATGGAAAATAGAATAAAACTGATTGAGAAAAATAACTGAGAGGACACAAGGAAAATTCTTTTGATAAATAGGTGTAAAAAGATATATCATCATTATCATTATTAGTAGTACTAGTATTAGCACTATCATTATCACTACCTTTAACATCATTATAAGAATGAGAATAATGATATTAATTATGACCGACATAAAGCTATGGACAATTATGATAATAAAACTAGTAAGAACAACAACAAAAATAATGAAAATAAAAAAAGCAACAAAAACAAAGACTAATCACAAAATACACCACAATCCGACAAACCAATCACAAACCACAACTTAATCAGACAAACAAACCAAACCAAACCAACCTCGCCTCAACAAAACCGAAACAAACAGACACTCACTCGACCCCGTGGCGCCCCAGCCCGTGACGACCGCCACCCGATCCTCGAAGTCCGCGTCGGGAGGGAGGCAGACGGGACCCACGCCCGACGCCCACTCCAGGGGCTCCGCGAGGGTCAGCAGAGCGATGTCGTTCGCCTGTGGATGGGAGAGGGAGTTTGGAGTGGAGGGAGGGAGTGTTGTTTGGTGTTTGGCGTTTCAGAGTTTGGCGTTTCAGAGTTTGGCGTTTCAGAGTTTGGCGTTTCAGAGTTTGGCGTTTCAGAGTTTGGCGTTTCAGAGTTTGGCGTTTCAGAGTTTGGCGTTTCAGAGTTTGGCGTTTCAGAGTTTGGCGTTTCAGAGTTTGGCGTTTCAGAGTTTGGCGTTTCAGAGTTTGGCGTTTCAGAGTTTGGCGTTTCAGAGTTTGGCGTTTCAGAGTTTGGCGTTTCAGAGTTTGGCGTTTCAGAGTTTGGCGTTTCAGAGTTTGGCGTTTCAGAGTTTGGCGTTTCAGAGTTTGGCGTTTCAGAGTTTGGCGTTTCAGAGTTTGGCGTTTCAGAGTTTGGCGTTTCAGAGTTTGGCATTTCAAATTTGGCGTTTCAGAGTTTGGTGTTGGCGTTGTTGTCCTTGTTGCCGTCCTTGTTGCCGTCCTTGTTGCCGTCCTTGTTGCCGTCCTTGTTGCCGTCCTTGTTGCCGTCCTTGTTGCTGTCCTTCTTGTTGTTTTAATATAGTGCGAGATGGAATAGCCTTTATATTACGGGATACTGATATGTAAGACTTTTTTCTTTTCATAAAATACTAGAAGAGTTTACATAGATTAATATACATTTCTTAAGGTATACCTCATTACTTCATGTTTTCCTTTACGTCTGAAAAACAAAACCCTAGTTATCATCATACACACAAATTTTCCAAGCTTCCTCCGGGCATTTATTTCTCAGAGACGCACTAAATCTTGCTCGTTTTAAATACACGATACCCCACTTTTTACATAACAGCGAGAAAATAGGAATTCGGAATTTGATTTTGTTGAAGACCAAACACTAATCAGAGATATTCCTTACTATATCATGAACAATAACAGCAACACTGCTAAGGAGACTTAAAACTAATACATTCTATGCATTACAAGGCCACGCAGATTGTACTAACTGGATAGAATTTACCCTAACAACTTGTCACTAGCCTGTAGTAGAAAAAATAAGACTTATTTGTACAAGGACTTCAAATGACATCAATTAAGACTTACGGAAGTCACGGGGCTGAACTCCGGGTGCAGGAGAACTTGCCTGGCCTTGATAATCTGGGTTGTGTTCTCCTGATACGAGGCCAGGTCATGCATGCCCGCTCTCACCGTGACCTCCAAGCTGTTTGGGTTTAGGAGGTGCATTAGTCTCCGCTGGATGAGAAAGATGTCAATTCATGTCTGTCTGTCTCCCTTTGTCTATACGGTAGCCTAAGACAAGAAGTGATACATGAACGCTCGGAGATAGATGCCTGCCTGCCTCACTCTTTGTGGATGATCAAAGCCACTTTTAACCTATTGCCTGACAAATGCTTATTAAATTTACAAGCAGCTTTCGCCGCCACAGACTCCCTCAATTCCTCGACAGTCAAGAAAATGACATCAATGAGGAAAAGGAGGTTCCTCGCAAAGCCTCAGACAACAATGAGCAGTGATGGACAGTCACGGGAAGTTCAGGCATCATTTGAGTCTGAACCGATGCCTCAAGTCGAGTGGGGGGGGGGGGGGGGGAGTTGATTTAGAGCACTATCGGAAATCGTACTACTGGTTACGTTCCTGATATGAAAAAAAAAATAATAATAAAAAATAAAACCGCCAACACACGAGGCAGCTAATGTGGTTAAGTCATCGAAAGCGGCCCAAGATAATGAAACGGAACGTGCATCTTCATTACAGTGTATACGAAGGATATCAACTCGTCATAAGTCGGCGATATCATTATCATTACCATCAAGACCATCACCCTAATCCTCACCATCGCCTCCTCAACCTCACCATCGCCTCCTCAACCTCACCATCGCCTCCTCAACCTCACCATCGCCTCCTCAACCTCACCATCGCCTCCTCAACCTCACCATCGCCTCCTCAACCTCACCATCGCCTCCTCAACCTCACCATCGCCTCCTCAACCTCACCATCGCCTCCTCAACCTCACCATCGCCTCCTCAACCTCACCATCGCCTCCTCAACCTCACCATCGCCTCCTCAACCTCACCATCGCCTCCTCAACCTCACCATCGCCTCCTCAACCTCACCATCGCCTCCTCAACCTCACCATCGCCTCCTCAACCTCACCATCGCCTCCTCAACCTCACCATCGCCTCCTCAACCTCACCATCGCCTCCTCAACCTCACCATCGCCTCCTCAACCTCACCATCGCCTCCTCAACCTCACCATCGCCTCCTCAACCTCACCATCGCCTCCTCAACCTCACCATCGCCTCCTCAACCTCACCATCGCCTCCTCAACCTCACCATCGCCTCCTCAACCTCACCATCGCCTCCTCAACCTCACCATCGCCTCCTCAACCTCACCATCGCCTCCTCAACCTCACCATCGCCTCCTCAACCTCACCATCGCCACCTCAACCTCACCATCGCCACCTCAACCTCACCATCGCCTCCTCAACCTCACCATCGCCACCTCAACCTCACCATCGCCACCTCAACCTCACCATCGCCACCTCAACCTCACCATCGCCACCTCAACCTCACCATCGCCACCTCAACCTCACCATCGCCACCTCAACCTCACCATCGCCACCTAACCTAACCTAACCATCACCACCTCAACCTCACCATCACCACCTCAACCTCACCATCACCACCTCAACCTCACCATCACCACCTCAACCTCACCATCACCTCCTCATCCTCATCTTCATCATCCACATCATTCTCACCATTCTCACCATCACCTCATCATCCTCACCACCATCACCCTCATTACCCTCATCACCATCATCATTACTTTTCATCGTCGACGCAATGACTCGCTGTGACGACGTGCGTGGTCGTCAGGATGGCACCTCCACACGACCTGCTGACACTGCCGAGGGAGATATCCAGCCTCACCATCCATGGATACTCTCCCGCGCCCGCCTCCTCCCCGCCCACGATCCTGGTTGCTCCTGCGCCCGCTGGAGCCTGGCCGCACACTGGAGAACGGGTGAGAACGGGTGAGAACAGGTGAGAACAGGTGAGAACGGGTGAGAACGGGTGAGAACGGGTGAGAACGGGTGAGAACAGGTGAGAACGGGTGAGAACAGGTGAGAACGGGTGAGAACGGGTGAGAACGGGTGAGAACGGGTGAGAACAGGTGAGAACAGGTGAGAACGGGTGAGAACGGGTGAGAACAGGTGAGAACGGGTGAGAACAGGTGAGAACAGGTGAGAACGGGTGAGAACAGGTGAGAACGGGTGAGAACGGGTGAGAACAGGTGAGAACGGGTGAGAACGGGTGAGAACAGGTGAGAACGGGTGAGAACGGGTGAGAACGGGTGAGAACAGGTGAGAACGGGTGAGAACAGGTGAGAACGGGTGAGAACGGGTGAGAACAGGTGAGAACGGGTGAGAACAGGTGAGAACGGGTGAGAACAGGTGAGAACGGGTGAGAACAGGTGAGAACGGGTGAGAACAGGTGAGAACGGGTGAGAACGGGTGAGAACAGGTGAGAACGGGTGAGAACGGGTGAGAACAGGTGAGAACGGGTGAGAACGGGTGAGAACGGGTGAGAACAGGTGAGAACGGGTGAGAACAGGTGAGAACGGGTGAGAACAGGTGAGAACGGGTGAGAACAGGTGAGAACGGGTGAGAACAGGTGAGAACGGGTGAGAACGGGTGAGAACAGGTGAGAACGGGTGAGAACAGGTGAGAACGGGTGAGAACGGGTGAGAACAGGTGAGAACGGGTGAGAACAGGTGAGAACGGATGAGAACGGGTGAGAACGGGTGAGAACAGGTGAGAACGGATGAGAACGGGTGAGAACAGGTGAGAACGGATGAGGACAGGTGAGAACGATGATTGTGAAGCTCTTTATTTCACTTATTGCTTCTTAATGCATTATTATCAGTGTTACTAATACTATTCTTTCGTTAATGTTATTATTATCAGTGTTGCTATTACTATTCTTTCGTTAATGTTATTATTATCAGTGTTGCTATTACTATTCTTTCGTTAATGTTATTATTATCAGTGTTGCTATTACTATTCTTTCATTAATGCATTATCATCCGTGTTACTATTACTATTGTTATTATTGATGTAAACACTATTATTGAATCACGACATTAATGTCATTTTGAATATCATAATTGCCAACATCACCATTCTTACCGTTCAAATCATTCTCATTATGTCAATTATCATAAACGATCACAACTAACATTATCATCACCATTAAGACAATAATCAACATCACTGATAGTGTTCTAAAGATTGTTATCATTATCATCATTACAATTACTACTACTGTTTGTTATTATCAATATCATCGTTACTACAACAACTTAAAAATCTATTAATAGTGACAATACCAAGAAGTAAAAAAATAGTAGTAACGCCAATAATAATAAAAAAAAATGATAATAACTGCAATAACTCTATGGAGGCAAGGACAGGTTATTGCACAGAGAAGAGTAATTACTGAGTAATTAATGGGTCTATTTATGATAAACCCATCGGCAAGGACTATGGTATTTCATAATGGCAAAGCTCAGTGACTGCTAGCTGAGTTCGCGCCAGGCAATCTCCTCCTAGTTAACTCATCTGTGAATAACTAGCATTAACTAGTTCAAACTCGGGGTGAGAGAGAACTACGATCTACTTTACCGCACCAACCCGGGGTTTTAGTTTTAGTTTCTCTACGGACATGTCACCTACGTCTCCTTGGATATGGGATCAAGTTGGCATGTCTTTCGTATCCCAACTTCCTCACCATTGTCACACCCCATTGCTTGGACGGCAGAGCTGGTCTCATCTTCATCCTCGACGCCGCTGCCCGCACCATCAGCTGTTGGGAATAAGCGAGTGTTAGGATGGAAGAGGTGGTCAAAGCTTTCATCGCGAGAAGCTAAAACTTGCTGTGGTGGTGTGATTTGACTTTTTTCTGGTTTGTTCCTTCTTTTACTTTCCTTTTCTCTTGTTCTCCTTTTGCTTCTGTGACCCTCGTCCTCTCTCTGCCTAATCTCTCTCTAATTTCTTTTTTCTTCTTCCCTTTCCCTCTCTCCCTCTATCCCTCCGTCTCTTTTTTTCTCTCCCTCCCTTCGTCTCTTTCTCTCTCCCACTTTCACTTTTTTCCCTCCTCACTTACGCGAAGAAAAAAACATAAAACAAAAACCCCAAAACGACCCCCAAGTTCTTTTACTTACGCTCGACCCCTTCGATGGAACACCACACCCTCGGCCTCCTCCTCCGACTCCGCTGGGCTCTCTCGTACAACAGGTACAAGGCTTGCATCCCCGTCATCTTCTCGGGACCTTTCTTTCCACAGAACCTGGGAGGGGAGGGGAAGGAAGGAGGAGGAAAGGAGGGGGTGGGGGAGGAGGAGGGGAAGGGGAAAGGAGGAGGGGAAGGGGAAAGGAGGAGGGGAAGGGGAAAGGAGGAGGGGAAGGGGAAAGGAGGAGGGGAAGGGGGAAGGAGGAGAGGGAAGGAAGGAGGAGGGGAAGGGGGAAGGAAGGAGGAGGGGAAGGGGGAAGGAAGGAGGAGGGGAAGGGGGAAGGAGGAGGGGAAGGGGGAAGGAGGAGGGGGGAAGGAAGGAGGAGGGGAAGGGGGAAGGAAGGAGGAGGGGAAGGGGGAAGGAAGGAGGAGGGGAAGGGGGAAGGGGGAAGGAAGGAGGAGGGGAAGGGGGAAGGAAGGAGGAGGGGGGAAGGAGGAGGGGAGGAAAGTGGGGAGGAGGGAAGGAAGGAGGGGAGGAAAGTGGGGAGGAGGGAAGGAAGGAGGGGAGGGAAGGGAAGGAGGGGAGGGAAGTGGAGGGTGGGGAGGGAAGGGAAGGTGGGGAGGGAAGGGAAGGAGGGGAGGGAAGTGGAGGGTGGGGTAAGAAGGGAGTGGAGGGAAGTGGAGGGTGGGGTAAGAAGGGAGTGGAGGGAAGTGGAGGGTGGGGTAAGAAGGGAGTGGAGGGAAGTGGAGGGTGGGGTAAGAAGGGAGTGGAGGGAAGTGGAGGGTGGGGTAAGAAGGGAGTGGAGGGAAGTGGAGGGAGGAGAAGCAGGTCGCGAGGGAAACGGGAGGAAAGTGAGGTCGGGGAGGGAGGGGGGGGGGGGAGGAAGGGAAAGAGCTCAGCAAAGGCAAGTGAATGTGACGCAATAGATAGGTTACGTGAAACATCTAGCGTTCAGATTATTTCCGCAATGCGATCATCTAACTAATACCATCACAGTCTCGATGGTAAATCACAAATAACATCATTGCCACACCAACATGTAAATGAATATCATATATAGGTCCTACATAACACCGTATGAACTATACAAGTGCAGATCAGTTACGCAGAGTAAACGCAAACAATAGTGACTGATATGCTAATACGTGACGTTAAGAAAATACAGCGTTTAGTACGACAATATCTCATGTCGTACTAAACGTTGTACTTTCTTTCAACGACTTACAATCTGTCTTTCATATAAGGTTATTTTTCTGCTCTTTTAGTAATGTTAACTGCTATGATATTCCTATTATTGATGCTTGTTGTGAAACGTTTACCATAAGTGTTTCTTATACTTAAAAATTAAGTTTAAGAAGACGTACTGTTTTTGTTACAGAATGTCCCAAACTGTGTTCTATCAAACCTGAACAAACCCAAAGTGACTTCCATTACTGACAAGAGAATAATACTCACCGTTTCTCAGAAGTTTGGTCTTGAACGAAAAAGTATTCTTTTGTGCAGGCAGACAGGTCGAATGTCTTGCAGTTCATCTCGAGTTCTGTGCTCCCATCCCCCTGCGGGTGAGGAAGACGAGGCGTAAGGGAAGAACAGACTGCATGGCACGGACACACACATTAATGCATATATACACGTCATGTATTTCTGGCAAAGTATTTCTGACATCGGTCAAATACATCTCTTGTATTGCGAAGATATTTCATTCTCATTCGTACCTTTTCTATGACTTGTAAATGTTATGAGAAGGGGAAAAGGAAGTTTATATCTATTTTATTCATGTATTTTTATTATTATTATAAACAATTTTAGAATATGTTTATCCTTTAGCAAATGTAAAATGTAAGGAGTATAGCAGAGCCATTAACATTCGATTGAAAAAATATGACAAAGAATGCTTAATGTTTCATGTTTCCTTACGATTTTTATTTTAAATATTTAACCATTTTTTAACAATATTTAACAGCAGCGTTCATACCATTATGTCTGACTGTACTACAGCGTTACAAGATCAAATCCCAACTCCATAAAAATAAACGAAAGAGGAATCGAAGCGCATGAAAATAAATAAAATTAAAAACATCACGACAAATTATTTTACTCCGAGCTTAACGCTATTCCATTTCACCTCATTACTATTCCATCCCATCCCGTGATAATTAAATGACACTACTATGCTATCTTTTCTTATGACTGTTCTCTTCGGCATTTCATCACCACAAAAACATTTTTACCATAACCACTCGACTCCCAAGATACTTACTAGTGGTTATATAGACTTTGTAGATAGATAGATAGATAGATAGATAGATAGATATAGATAGATATACCGACTCACGTGCACGAAAATGGCGCAGACGTCCATGTTGGCTCGCACGCGGAATATTTTCTTATCTCCCGCTTTCATGCAGTATGTCTGTCCGCACGTCACTGTTTGGTTGATAAAAGAGCTTTAGAGAAATAACTCTGACCTGGTATCAGTGCCTTTGAGTGATTATTCTTATAATAGAACTTGCGTGTGATTATTTCGATAAAGGCGGTACTCCTGCAAGCTACTCCAGTTCTTTTTAACAATCTTCGGTGGAAGCATGATGTCTGATGCCATATGGATGAATATACATGGTCGCATTGACAGACTGAGAGATAGATATAGATAGATACAGATAGATGTAGACAGGTTGAGAGGTATGGACAGATAGGCAAACTCATAGACTGATAGATAGGCTAACTCATAGACTGATAGATAGGCAAATTCATAGACTGATAGATAGGCAAATTCATAGACTGATAGATAGGCAAACTCATAGACTGATAGATAGGCTAACTCATAGACTGATAGATAGGCAAACTCATAGACTGATAGATAGGCAAACTCATAGACTGATAAACAAACAACCGATAAATAGATAGGCATACAGGTAGACAAGCAGCTAGATGGATAAATAAAAATAATTTATATCATCATCAATAACGTTTTCAGTGAATACACACCCCAACTAAACACTATCACTTTTTTTTTTTTTTTACCCACCTATCATTCTTCCTAACCCCTTTAATTTTACCTTTTTTCTGCGCGTTCTTCCTCATCATCTTCCTCTTCCTCTTCCTCTTCTTGGACTTTCTCCCCCTCTTGGCCCCCCCGCTGGCACTCCTCCCCTCAGCGACCCCGTGTTTCCTGAGGCACCGTGCCAGGACACCCTTCGCGGACGGGGCCTGGGTCGTCTCGTCGCGGCATCTCCTGAAGGTTTTTCCAAGTTTCGTCAACTCGCCGAATTCCTGTTGGTAGGATATGGGGTCACGCGTACGAACGGTAAGTGGGTGAAGACGTGTGGATATTCATATGCGTATATATATGTGTGTAGGAGAGAGGGAGAGGGAGAAGGAAAGCATACGCATGCGCATACACGCATAGGCATACGCATGCGCATACACGCATAGGCATACACGCATAGGCATACACGCATAGGCATACACGCATAGGCATACACGCATAGGCATACACGCATAGGCATACACGCATAGGCATACACGCATAGGCATACACGCATAGGCATACACGCATAGGCATACACGCATAGGCATACACGCATAGGCATACACGCATAGGCATACACGCATAGGCATACACGCATAGGCATACACGCATAGGCATACACGCATAGGCATACACGCATAGGCATACACGCATAGGCATACACGCATAGGCATACACGCATAGGCATACACGCATAGGCATACACGCATAGGCATACACGCATAGGCATACACGCATAGGCATACACGCATAGGCATACACGCATAGGCATACACGCATAGGCATACACGCATAGGCATACACGCATAGGCATACACGCATAGGCATACACGCATAGGCATACACGCATAGGCATACACGCATAGGCATACACGCATAGGCATACGCATAGGCACACGCATACGCACGGATAGGCATACGCATACACGCATGGGCATACGCATACGCACGGATGGGCATACGCATACACGCATAGGCATACGCATACATACGCATACGCATACATACGCATACGCATACATACGCATACGCATACATACGCATACGCATACATACGCATACATACGCATACGCATACATACGCATACGCATACATACGCATACGCATACATACGCATACGCATACATACGCATACGCATACGCATACATACGCATACGCATACATACGCATACGCATACATACACATACGCATACATACGCATACGCATACATACACAGGCTAACACTAACACAGCGTATAAACCTTATAAACGACAATCAGAATATCAAAAACACCCCAATCAAAAGTAATGAAATAAAAACACCTTTGCTGTTAATATTCCAGAATTCCATGATAGGAAAAAAATAAACTAAAACTTAAAAAAATAAAAATATAAAAAATTGCCAACATTACACCTTTATACAAGAGCAGCGACAAGGAAAACTATCTCTATTATAAACCAGCTTCGTAATATATGAGCTTCTAGAATGGATAATTAGGAAAGGATGGGTTAATATGATATTAAATACGCAATTTAGCCTCAATTTAGCAGGTCACGAGTAAAAAAGAAAAAAAAAACAACTCCTCTCTGTTTTTAAAGACAGTTTCTGAAATATGACAAGAGACGGTTGGATGGCTTTCGTGTAAGCATAGAGGCCTGTCCACACCACACACACACACACACACACACTAATACTCTCACACACACACACACACACACACACTCGTACGCACGCACGCACTCACACGCACACATTAAAAAAACACAGGCTAATACACACAGCACATATACAAGAATAAAATCACTAACGTAACCAATTTAACACATGGTTCACACCAATACTGGACACTTGACCTATATCTTTGTTAGCCATTATAAGACATTCCTGGACGCTAAGAGCACCATGGAACTAAGCCAGAATTACAGGCTATTGGTTCCTGGATCAGAGGAGATCGTTCAGCAATAGGTAGACGCGTGGGTGCTTTGTTATAGAGAAAAAAATGCCAATAGTTCCGATCGATATTGGTCTAGAAATACGGATTTTTAGGGCACCGACGTCAGGGGCCAACTGACCCTGAGCGGCAGCTGTTTCATCGCCCACCATCACAAGGCCCACTTCCGCTAGAATGCCTCACGTACTCATGGCCAATTAGTAATGTTAAAATGAGTCCCATCATGGCACTATAATTAAGGACCTTTACCGAAACGTGATACCAGCCAGCCCCGACAAGTTTTCATGCGATTTTCACCCGAACCGATCGTAGTTTGGCCTCTTCTTTAGATTCAGTGTTTGCGGACCTTACTGAAGATATAGTGGCCGATAGAAGATATAGTGGCTTCAAAGGTGTTGTTTGCCCCCCCCCCCCCCCCCAAGACTTTGATTGCCCCTAGAAGGTCAAGCTTGCTCCCCCAAAGGCCACACTCTCACGATTTTTCCCTAAATTACACCTTCATAGATCTAGTCGTAACTTGCTCATGAAATAACTTACCCCCCCCCACCCCTCTCGTCCCCAGATCAAGGTGAATGACCTGCCCCCCCTTCGGGATACGTGGTACTCCGGATCATGACATTATATTGACGGAAATAGGACAAATTCAAGCAAAGGGCTGGAAAAACTATTCGAGAAGATGAACCCGCCACTGAACCCAGTATACAGAGCCTGCAGGAGTGGAGAGACGTTGCTTCCCACGCTACAATGTTCAAAATTCTCCAAGAGCGTACTGCCCTGCCCACCTGGAGAATTGTAGGTTATTCTCCGAGACAACCCCAATGTAATGTACCACCAGAACGGCTAAACCCCACCCTAGTTTAATAATAATAATAATAATATATACATATATAGATACATTGATAGATAAAGATTGATGTTGGTTAGCTTTAAGATATACTACAATAATAATGCATCTCCCGTTATTTATTTTTTTTTTTTTTTAATACTCGCAAATGTATATCTGTATATGCCAATGCAAAATTAAAATAAGTGATACCTAGTGTTAAACAAGAAATGAGAGAGAGATAAGAAAAGATAATCAAAAACCTCATCTCAACGTATCACCCTTTCTCCAAATGCTAATTTTGACCCGTGTTTAGCTCACTCACCCTTTCCTTAACGCCGCTCGGACCCGTGACGCGAGATTTCCCTGGTTTTCCGCAGACTGAAGTGAAGACAACGATTAGTAACAGCCATGTCCACATAGTATCCTGGTCTTGGATTGATAACGCTTCCTGGTTCAGCTCTGAGGGAGTGAGAAGGACTTCCTTTTTTTCATGATGGTCGTTAATTGCTTGTTTTTAAATAGTGCTTTGGAAATAAATGTTTAAAAAGATCGGTGTACTAGGTTTATTACCCTTATTACTTTGTCATTTTTAATAAGCTTAGTAAATATGTATAATTAGATCGATGTGCCAGGTTTATTATCATAATTACTTTGGGTAATTAGTAAGAATGGATATTATACGATGCATAAAAGTGTATTTTTCGGAGTGGTGTATTGTAATTATTCCAAGGCCTATCTCACTTTTCGATATACTAATAGATGCCTTTAAGAACCCCCCCCCCCCCTCTCTCTCTCTCTCTGACAAACATAATTATATACAGACATGCATAAAGACAGATATATTTAGGTATAGATACACAATTATATAAATACGTACGATACACTAAATTACCCGTTAACATTTTTGTGCATAGAAACTTCGATCTGACCAAATATGGCAATGATATTCATTAATCGTGGGCCTAATCGACTATTTGTCTTTTTCAACATTCGATTACAGCTTATCAAACAATTATTCTCAGAGTTAGGGTTGAACCGAGAACCGTTTTCGTATATTTCCATTTAACACAACTCAACGTGATACTCTACTCTAGTGCGAGATAGGTCTTGTACGAATGCTTGCTTATGTGAAGTTGTTTTTGTTTCTATTTATTACAAAATTTCAGGTGCATATTGACTTGTTTTGTTCTTCCACGCCTATTATCATCCGGATATTTGGAAGGTGGTGGGGAAGGAGGGAGAGAGGGAGAAAGGAGAGAGGGAGAGAGGGAGAGAGGAGGGAAGGAGGGAGGAGGAAGGAGGGGAGGGGGGAAGAAGGGAAGGAGGGGAGGGGGGGGGAGGAGGAAGGAGGAAGGAGGGGAGGAGGGAGAAGGGAGAAGGGGAGGAGGGAGAAGGGGAGGGAGAAGGGGAGGGGGAGGAGGAGAGGGGGGAAGGAGGGAGGGAGAGAGGGGGGATGGAGGGGAGGGGGGAGGAGGAAGGAGGGGAGGGGGAGGAGGAGAGGGGGGAGGAAGGAGGGAAGGAGGGAAGGAGGGAGGAGGGGAGGAGGAGGGAGGAAGGAGGAAGGAGGGGAGGAAGGGAGGAGGGAAGGAGGAAGGAAGGGAGGAGGGGAGGAGGGAAGTAGGGAGGAGGGGAGGAGGGAAGTAGGGAGGAGGGAAGTAGGGAGGAGGGAGGAGGGGAGGAGGGAGGAGGGGAGGAGGGAGGGAAAAGGGAAAGGGCAACAATTATACCTCGCAAGTATGAAAGGAGTCACGGCCACCACCCATTTTGGAACGTAGTGTGTATATGGGGGAAGAAATGATAAGCATAGAAGACAAGTGTAGGGAAAGGGGCGAAAGAGTGTAAGTATGTAAGAGTAGTATGTGTGTGTGTGTGGGGGTGGGGGTATGTGTTTGGTGCGAGGATATAAAGGCTGGTAAGCGTGATATGAGCCGAGGAGGGGCGTGTATAGTCACCTTGATTGAAATAAAGGAAAATAAACTATCACCATTCACTATAGGTAGTTATCTCATCAGCAATTGTACTGTTACTATTTCTTAAAGTTGGGCGTTGATAAAACTTAGTATACATAAAAACAGTTTATTACAAATAGAAATTTAAAAGACAGACAGACAGCAAAACACATGAATCGATAAAACAAACGGAAATGCAAGCACGAATAAAACAAACATTAAAATGGCAGTACAAAAAAGAAACTTAAAACATAAAAGGACAAACAATGAAAAATAAAATGCACTTAACAAAAAAAAAACCTTAAAAATAATACAACGAAAGTAAAACACGAACGATAAAAGTTGGAATAAAAACACTGGATAAAACGAAAAATATATGAAAATGATATAACACGAACGATAGAATAGTAAAATGGAACTTTGGATAAAACAAAAAAAAAAAAATTATTTAAAGTACTGGTCACTCTAGCTCAACTTTGGTCGAACAAATATCACGCAAATTATTTCTTACTCCCTATATTAATACAACCCC